TTTGGGCAAGGACACAGGGGCCCCATGATCCCCTATTGCCCGGGGGCCCCATGAGTTGTCAGTCCGCCCCTGGGCTTGACATGCAGTGGTCAGCAGGGAATGAATCCTCCTTAGTGATAAATAATAGTGACTCCGCGCTCCAATCTGTAAGAATTGCGCACTCACCAAATACACCAGGAATTTGTGCATTAAATATATGCTCTCTGCGGGGTCCCCTTTTAAAGTAGGTCAGTCAGGAGTATGGATCCTCTGTCCGGACACCAGCTCCAGTACAGCTCCTCTTCCACCGGGGGTCTCTCCAAGCAGATGGCTCAAAGCCAAGCCATATATAGAACAAAACTGATAGTGTAGTATTTTTTGCTAAAAAATGTATTAAGAATCCTTCTTACAGATATTTGAGGATATAAAATCCTCTATTCAATAATACAACTTGTGCAAAAACTCCATACAAAACGAAAAAAACTGCAGAGCTGATGTGAAAGGCTGAATCAGCCACTAACCAAAATGGCCGCCGGACCTCACGTGCTGCTCCAGCAGCGTGACGTCACCGCGTTAGGGCTCCTCCTTAATGCGTTTCGTGCTATAGCACGTTATCAAAAGGGCTGTACACCATTGGCTCCTCCTATCAGCAAGCTCTCATTAATCAACTGGCCTCTCAGTATACAATCTGATTGTACATTCCAAAACTATATCCCAGTTTACCCAAACTATCTATGCAAATTGTATCAAACAGGTACTGCATAACTGTTGGTAATGCTAAAGGAGAATGTACAATCTGATTGTATAGCGTATGGTCAACTTTACATTGACAGTGTGGTACAATGCAGTAAAACAAGTGGTTGGCTCACACTTGGGTGGAAGGAAAGAAAATCACTTGATTCCCCCATCAGCACAGTCAGTGTTTTTTTTGGAGGCAACCTTCCCGCAGAGCTATTGTGTTCTGCCGGCGGCGAGCCATCCCTAAGTCAACAGAACACAATGATCACTGCTGGCGGCTATAGCCACCGACAGTAATTGCATGCAAAAAATCAGATAGGCTGGTTGTACTGAAGTCGAATGATGGATCAACTTCAGTGCACTTGGACAGCAGCATTGTCAGTCTGTGGGGAGGGTAGTGTTAGATGGACTAACAGACTTAGGTGTATTTAACCAACAAATTAAAGCCGAACTCCAGCTAACACTTTTTAAGCAGTTACAGGAAAATTTTTTTTTCCATTTTTGGAATAAAGTTTTTACATAAATAAAAGCTGACCATTGTAAACACCCCTGTCAGTGGTAAACAGTTCATCTCAATACTCTGATACTTCTCCTAGAAAGCTTGGTCCATTAAAGGTTGGAAAGATGAAATATAAGACTTACAGGCAGAATCACCAGGTGAGATTAAAATAAAAAGCCTAAAGGGAGAAAACTAATGCAGCCTCCACATCTAACAATTGGTAAGCTGCAATATATATATATTTTTTTTTTTTCGGGGGGGTTAAATAACGCTTTAGGATTGAAAAGCAGTAGGTTGTTATAGACAACACAGGCAGTTCATCTTTCAGACACTTTGATAAAAGAGGTCCAGCGTTCATTATTATTAAGAAAAATTAATAATAGCGCCTATGGTTAAAATTGTATAACACTAATAGTGTACCAGCTGCAAAAAAACCACCATATATAAAGTGTACCAATTAATAAATAATTTGCGCTAGTAAATATATATAAATATATGTAAAGAAATCATCAAATCATAAGTCCAGAAAAATATATATATACCAATACCACAAAAAAATATAAAAAACTTTTTAGGTGCAAAAAAACTTTTGTGCAAAAGGAGTGTCTCAATATAAAAAAAGTGTCTCAATATAAAAAAAAAAAAAAAAAAATTCACCAAAAAAACCTTGATAATATAATGGCAGATCATCCATAAAAATATCTTCAGAAACGGAAGCTCTCCAACACACCGATCCTCATCGATCGAAATAACAGGACGAAAAACTTTGTAGTTAATCGAAAATCCACTTCTCCAATAGAAAAAGGACCACCTTCAAACGTATCCATGGGGGAGGCAATGCCAAGCACTCGAGAGAAACAGAAAGACTTCATGGTGCAATATTATAAAAACCAATTCCTTTATTAGATACTCATTGCACTTACTCAAGAGGTGTCCCAGCCGGCACCAGCATCAACAGCATCAACAGCAATCACATAAACGAGCCTGACTACTCAGCACATGTGCAATAGCTGGCAGTCAAAAACGTAATGACAAACATCAATCAAGCTCCCTTTGGGCGGAGCTTGATTGATGTGATGTCATTACGTTTTTGACTGCCAGCTATTGCACATTGTGCTGAGTAGTCAGGCTCGTTTATGTGATTGCTGTTGATGCAGGTGTCGGCTGGGACACCTCTTGAGTAAGTGCAATGAGTATCTAATAAAGGAATTGGTTTTTATAATATTGCACCATGAAGTCTTTCTGTTTCTCTCGAGTGCTTGGCATTTTTTACATGGATACGTTTGAAGGTGGTCCTTTTTCTATTGGAGAAGTGGATTTTCGATTAACACAAAGTTTTTCGTCCTGTTATTTCGATCGATGAGGATCTGTGTTGGAGAGCTTCCGTTTCTGAAGAATTTTTATGGATGATCTGCCAAATATACTTATCAAGGTTTTTTGGTGAATTTTTTTTTTTTTTTTAATATTGAGAAACTTTTTTTATATTGAGACACCCTTTTGCACAAAAGTTTTTTTGCACCTAAAAAGTTTTTTATATTTTTTTGTGGGGGGTATATATATACGCTTTTTTGGAAAGCTTATGATTTGATGATTTCTTTTTCATATATTTATATATGATTTACTAGCGTTCATTATTATTGGCTTTGTTATGTAGTGCACAGAACATTCCATTTCTGGTTCTTTATTTGATAGCTTTTTTTTTTCTTTTTTTTTTTTTTCAGGGTCAGTATCCCCAGATCCACCCTGCTCCTCCCTCCATACAAGTACAGAGCTCATCGGAGGAAAAGTTTCGACCCCACAGACACCCTGGCCTTGCCATCAGTAAGTTACAGTATGCCCCTGCACTTCCATCTTTGATAGACTGCTGGTATCTAAGTTGGCCCTTGTATGTATGTATGTACAGTATGTATGTACAGTATGTATGCATGTGTGTATGTATGCATGTTTATATACACTATATTGCCAAAAGTATTGGGCCCCGCCCCCTCCAATCATTGGATTCAGGTGTTCTAATCCCCTCCATGGACACAGGTGTATACAATCAAGCACCTAGGCATGCAGACTGCTTCTACAAACATTGGTGAATGAATGTGTTGCTCTCAGGAGCTCAGTGACTCCAAGCGTGGTCCCGTGATAGGTGGCCACCTGGGCAATAAGTCCATCCGTGACATTTCCTGGCTACTAAATATTCCACGCTCAACTATTAGTGGGATTATAACAAAGTGGAAGCAACTGGGAACAACAGAAAACTCAGCCACCAAGTGGTAGGCCATGTCACATGACAGAGCGGGGTCAGCGCATGCTGAAGCGCACAGTGCACAGAAGTCACCAATTGTCTGCAGAGTCAATAGCTAAAGACCTCCAAACTTCATGTGGCCTTCAGATGAGCACAACAACAGTGTGTAGAGAGCTTCATGGAATGGGTTTCCATGGCCGAGCAGCTGCATCCAAGCCTTACATCACCAAGTGCTGTGCAAAGCGTCGGATGCTGTGCTGTAAAGCACGCCGCCACTGGACTCTAGAGCAGAGGAGACGTGTTCTCTGGAGTGACCATTCATTCTTCTCTGACTGGCAATCTGATGGACGTGTCTGGGTTTGGCAGTTGCCAGGAGAACGGTTCTTGCCTGACTGCATTGTGCCAAGAGTAAAGTTTGGTGGAGGGGGGATTATGGTGTGGGGTTGTTTTTCAGGGGTTGGGCTTGGCCCCCTAGTTCCAGTGAGGGGAACTCTTAAGACGTCAGCATACCAAGACATTTTGGACAATTTCATGCTCCCAACTTTATGGGAAGAGTTTGGGGATGGCCCCTTCCTGTTCCAACATGACTGAGCAACAGTGCACAAAGCAAGGTCCATAACGACATGGAGGAGCCAGTTTGGGGTGGAGGAACTTGACTGGCCTGCACAGAGTCCTGACCTCAACCCCATAGAACACCTTCTGGGATGAATTAGAGAGGAGACTGCGAGCCAGACCTCCTCCCCCGACATCAGTGCCTGACCTGACAAATGTGCTTCTGGAAGAATGGTCCAACCTTCCCATAGACACCCTCCTAAACCTTGTGGACGGCCTTCCCAGAAGAGTTGAAGCTGTTATAGCTGCAAAGGGCGGGGCCAACTCAATATTGAACCCTACGGACTACGGGGGGGCTAAAGGTCATGAAAGGAAGGGGGCCCATTAAAGTTTGTGTGTGCGTGGAAAGGCAGGCGGCCCAATACTTTTGGCAATATAGTGTGTGTGTATATATGTGTGTGTGTGTATTTTTTATATATATAAGATAGGGACCTTTTAGATACAGGCTGGCCATAGCTGGCTGCAAGCTCTGATTGAGAAAATCTTTCCATCTTGTCCCTTCACCAGAGAACATACACTAATCGAGATTCAGGTGGCCCCTGCTGAATTGCTGAATTACAATCGGTGTATGGCCAGCTTAAGAAATAAATGATTGGCAGATTTATAAATCGTAGAAGGTGATTGGTCTGCCAGATCCAACACTATGCATCTGAAATGGAGTGAAGACAGCTGCCGGCTGTACTATTCATAACGTCTTTCTTTAGAAAAGTACTTTTCATGTCATAATTTGGTGACTTCAGTTCCAAGAAAACCGTTTCTGTAAATATTGGAGATATTCGGCTTGGTTGTTTTCTCAGCTGGTGCCGTGGTCAGCCGTATAATCCCCATAATTCGTCCAGAATGTTGTAGGCAGCTGGGAAATGCATGTTGAAATAATGTAACGATCCATTTCCTGTCTTCCAGCATTGTTTAGCGGGATGGGAAAATGCCGTTCCATCATGTGGCCTCCGCGTCAGCAGCCTCGACATGAAAACTTCTGTAGAACCCAGCGCAGTGACTAGGGCATCGTCCTCTAATATAACCACGGTAAGGAGACAGACTCTGCAATAGGCAGGAAATATTGAGAGAGGACATGCTTTCATCTGTTTTTTTAAAATGCTATCGAACTGGCTGTCATCCTGTTCCAATGGCTTCGGCACTTTCTTGGTCACTGGTCTGGTAAAACTATGCAAAACAGGAGTTTCCTGATCTGTGTGCTTTTTTCTGAGTTAGTGACTGAATTGCTGGTGCTGGTGGATCAGTAAGACAGCCAGGCAAGCAGCATCTTCAGCAGTGCAGCCTCTATGTTATGACAGGTTTACTCTTAAAACCAAGTCAGCAATGGTAACAATGGGAGTTTCATCTCCAACACAAGAGATAGGTTAGAGCCTGCAGCTGTTGTAAAAGCAGGCCATAGATGATATTATTATTATTATTATTATTTCAGGTACTTATATAGCTGCCGTTATTTACACAGCACTTTACATACATATTGTACATTCACATCAGTCCCTAACCCTCAAGGGGTGTACAATGTAAGGTCCCTAACTCACATTCATACATACACATACTAGGGACAATTTAGACAGGATCTAATTAACCTACCAGCATGTCTTTGGAGTGTGGGAGGAAACTGGAGTACCCGGAGGAAACCTGCACAGGGAGAACATGCAAACTCCAGGCAGGTGATGCCCGTGGTTGGGATTCAAACCAACAACCCTAGTACTGCCAGGTGGAAGTGCTAACCATTTAGCCACTGTGCTGCCCATGATTTGATTTACTTTCCTTCTTCCACAAATGGAAGGAAAGAAAATCACTCCATTCCCCATCAACACTGAGCTGTGTTGTCCATGCCTCCCATGGAGCTATTGGGTTCTGCCAGTGGGGAGCCTTCCCTGCCAGTACAACACAATGGTCACTGCTAGTGGCTATAACTGCTACACAAAAATTCTGGTTGTAATGAAGTCGATTGATGGATCGACCCCAGTACAACCTGCCTGCCCATAAATGGATGAAATCTCATTCGGCCCCCGCTGAACGGCTGAGATTCGATCTATCTATGGCTGGCTGAAGACTGCTGTCAGATTACAGCTGACTGCTGGAGACTGAGTACTGCCCCCTTCTGGAAATGTTAGTTGCTGGCAGCAAATATAGAAATGAGGGCTTCTGACTATCTGCATACTTGAATGCTGCACATGCAGGCTTTGCTCTGGGCAGCTGTCCTTGGGTGCTGCCTGCCCTAAATGTAAGTTCCATCATCCAGCCGCAGCAGCTGCCAGCCTCCCATAGACTTTTACAGGCAGCCTGCAGCAGGACTGCACAGTGCACCCCCATCTTTTCCTCCCGCACCTAAACTCCAGAGCAGGGGCGGACTGACCATTTGGAAACTCGGGCACTGCCCGAGGGCCAGGGGGTCAGTAGGGGGCCCCATGAGATGCCCCTGGTACCTTTTTCATAGGCTTTTTTGAGTTTGGGCAAGGACACAGGGGCCCCATGATCCCCTATTGCCCGGGGGCCCCATGAGTTGTCAGTCCGCCCCTGCTCCAGAGTCTCATGCACCGGAGCTAAACGCTCAATGTGCATGAGGCCTAACTCAAATTATTGAAGCCAGAGGTTTGACAAAACAGCCAGACACCTAGCATTTTTGTAGCGTAACGTCAGTAGTTCTTACAGGATAGGTTTCCTTTTGCGCTCAAAGCACAGGAAACGTTTCTCATAGGTTAAAAACCAAATCCTATCCGACCTGCAGTTCTGTACCCCAACCTGACCTACGGCCCCTCTGTAATCCTGTTCAGTCCTGCACTGCAGTGCGGACTCTTTTTGATCAGTTTACTTACATATAGTAACATACTTACATATCCTGGTATACTATTTAGTTTTACAGTGAAATCAGCGGCATGAACATTTGTACATTTGTACGGGGCCTCAGAAGTGTGCGCATAGCCGTTATGGGCTACCCATGGCCAAGGCTCTAAGGAATAGGTAAACCCAAGTACAAAGTCTACATTTCAGCATACTAGTCCTTAGATGTAGTGGCTACCTTTTTGTTTTTTGTTTTTTTTTTTTCCAGCTATGTTGCCTTTTTTTTTTGCACCTGGAATTCCTGCTAGTAACATATTTCCCACCCTATGGTGACCACCAGGGTCGTGGATAAGGAGGTACCACCAGTCCTCCTGTATGGGGCTCATGTCAGCAGGGGGGCCAGACAGCCAGGTGAATTGGATGTGGGCAGGGAGGGTGATCAGCATGATGGGGGGGTCGGGGTAATTACCGGAACCACACCTCTGAATGGCTCTTTCTGCCGCAGCTGAAATCTGGCTTCTCCTCCTCTCCCTCCTGCTGGCTGTCAGCTGCTGCAGAGTGAGGGATCGTTTCCAGTAATTTCTCCCCCACCACACACATCCCCCTCCCTGTACACTATACATTTCCCCCTGTGTGCCCCCTCCCTTGCCGTGCCCCCCCCCCTTTCCCACCAGCAGCTGCAAGCACACAATAGGATCCTTCAGGATGGAGAGTGGGGGAAGTGTCCAGTAAACATGTCACATTTGCCAGGCCCTTTCTTTCCTGAATGAACACAATGAGTGATTGGTAGTGATCACTCACTATGTTCATTCCTAACTTTCATATCTTTTGGGGGCCCTGTCAGGTTGGCTGTATGGGGCCCCATGGTTTCTAACAGCAGCCCTGGTGACCACACTAATTCACTGTACTTGATGGGAGGAGCTGTGTAGTCACTCTAGGACAGGAATTAGTGCAATGCCATTTTGTAATGTATTGAAAACCCACCTCTTCAGGGAAGCCTACCCCACCCTCACCTAACAGTTGTTCTCCTTCATTCCTCCTACCACTCCATCCCCCACAGCCACTTCCCTCCTGTGCTACTACCCCCTCCCTCCTAGATTTTAAGCTGGAAAGAGTAGGGCCCTCTAACCCCTCGTGTGCTGTTTGTAGTTGCTGTTCTGTTTCATGTTCTGTCCCCCACTCTATTGTACAGCGCTGAGCAAACCCTTTGGCGCTGTATAAACGCGATGTAATAATAATATTGCCCTTTTCACACCTAGGTTTTTGTTTATATTGTGAGTTGGGCACACAGCTTAGGTGTGCTGGTATAGAACTTCAGCCAGCATTTGTTATTGTTTAGTTTTAGGTTGGAGCCCCTTTTTAGTTGTTTCTGGCTGTCTTGTTGAGATATACCCTATACAGATGAAAGAAAATGACCTCGGTGGACACAGATGACAGTACAAAATACAGAGCCTCTAATAGCCGCTAACATTTACACCAGCAGTGCCCTCTGAAGAGCGATCCACAACAGATTGCCTTTCAGAGGGTGTTTGACAGGCATTGAGGAGGCACTTTGTCACCTCCTGTTTTAACCCCTAAAAGCCTGCACCATGGCCCCATTCCCTTGAAATAGGTTGTGCACAGTGGGTGGTACTGCCCATCAAAGGCAATAGTGGGTTCATTTTTGCTGCGTCTCAATGCAAAGTATTGCAGCAGCAGAATGTATTTATCCCTATACAGCTGCCTTTACTGCATACGGGGAGTGGATGGGTGTGGTAAACATAGCTCAGCAGCGTCTTTTTACCATCCCACAACTGCAAGTGTAAACTAAGCCTAACCCTTTCCCCTCGCTTCCAGTTCCATATACAGCTGTTATCAGCTTAAGAATGAAGGGGAAGTCTCTCCAGGTGGACACACACAGCACTTTATTGGTTATTTGCACTCCCAAAAGTTTGCCTAGAGCTTGAGATCAAAATGCAGGTTCATGGAATTTGGCACCCCAGCCAATGTCCTTTTTGGTTTACTGAACTGGGAATTTCACATATTCACAAAACACATCTAAAGGGTGCAATATGTAGTGTTTATCCACAACGAGACCAATAATATGATCATAGCAGCTATGGTGAGTATAGAGGTGCGCTTGGTGTAAACGTTGGTCACACTTGAGGGTATATTTATGAAGGTTTTTTAATTTTGCAGTTCGCAGGTAACAAGTGAATCTAACGAGTTTCGGCAGCAGTGCCGTCCCCTTCGTCATGGCTGTCCAATAGCAGAATGGCAGTATGGTGATTATAGTAAGGGCGGACCGCTTGCAGGCTACAATGCTTTGCACAAATATTCACGCCCTTGGACTCCACATTTTATAATATTAACCACTTCAAGTCCGGACACTTTTACCCCCTTCCTGTCCAGGCCAATTTTCAGCTTTCAGTGCTATCACACTTTGAATGACAATTGCGCGGTCATGCAACACTGTACCCATATGAAATTTTTTGCATTTTTTTGAGACCGATAAAACTTTATTTTGGTGATATTTAGTCACCACTGGGACTTTTATTTTTTTTGCTATATAAATGAAAAAGTCCAAACATTTTGAAAAAAAAATTTCTTATAAATTTTGCAAATAAATAATATTTCTTCATACATCTTGGCCAAAATATATTCAGCAAACTTTTTTAGTAAAAAAAAATAACCCAAATTAGTTTATAACCAAAAATTATTATAATTTTTCAAAAAATGTTTTTACATTTTTATTATTTTTTTTTTATATTATTTGTTTTGTTTTTTGTTTTTTTTGTATTTTAACATACTGTCACCCTAGCAGCACAGTGTCAACATAGTTACACTGTACTACTTGTGGGGGGTGATAAAGATTTTTGATTCTTTTTTTACACCCATAAAGACTGTAAAAGCAATTTCTCCTCTGTGGCTGCATTCCTGCAGCCATTGAGAAATACTGTGAGAGTTGTGATTGGTCACAGCTTGTCACATGGTACAAGGCTGTTGTGAATAGCCTTGTACCATGTGACCTCTGTGATCATTCACAGATTTCACTAGTAGTAAGCAATGATATCAGGAAGTGACATCTTGCTTACTACTATTCATGTAATCACTGATTGGCCAATCAGTGATCACATGATCGGAACCTCACAGAGAGGTCTTGTACAGCAATTGGTATTCACTGGACTGGAGGACACAGTGGGCACCGGATTGCAGTGTCGCACGCTCCCAGGGAGCGCGCACAAGCAGTAAATGCGGGGGCCGTTTATAAACAGCAACCCGCTCCTGCACTGCTCCTGTCCGGCCGTTTATGTACATGGGCCGGACAGGAAGTGGTTAATCTAGTTATATGTGTGTGTGTGTGTGTATTATAGTATGTTGAAACTGATTGATCTTGTAAGGGCTACGTTATTTTTTGAGGGTCAAACTTATTTAAAGTAGAACTATGGCCTCCCATAAAGAAAGGTATGCTTTATTGTAAGTGTACCTGCACTTAGTTTTTCTCTTAGCACCCCCTGCAAAGTCTCACAAATACCTAATGCTCCTGTCACTGTTCATCATTGCCACATCTATAATGGTGTGGCAACGATGCTGCCTTGCTCCTGAATTCAGAGCAGAGTTGTCACTCCCATGTAGGCTGTGCCTGCTTGCACTACAGTGGAGTGATCACATGTTGCAGGGGGGGTGGGGGGTCACTACTGATTCACAAGCCTGTAGCTTGCCAGTCATTGACCTAATCTGGCCATGACTCCTTGTTGGGTCATCGGTATCACGAGCATCCCCTCCCTTTTCTGCATGTCAGCTGCAGTGTGGGGAATCCTCTGCCTGCAGCTAATTGGCCCGGGAATGACAGCTGACTAGGAGTTAAAAATACAAGCTCATCCCTGCAGTGATAACCAATGTATATGCTTCCATTTCCAGGACAATGCACCTTACTACGCTTCGAGGGCGAGGTCTGAGAATCTTCTGAATATGTCCCGCTCCATCGCATTCCATCACAATACAGACAAATAGTCTGTAGTCTGTATGCAGGCAAGAAGAAGCAGAATGTCTCCTTAACTCCATCCATAAACTATATTTCTCAGGGAAGAACAATAACCAAAAGCGGCTGTGAAAAACCTTTTGCCAAGGGACATAGTGCACCGATTTTAACATGAATCTATTTTTTTTATGAATATACACTATATGTGATTGTTAAATACATTATATAAATAATCTGATCTATATGTGCTTTTATGTCTTCAATCCTCTGTTTATCTTTTATACATTTGCGTGTCCACTTCCTGTTTACTAGCGCAGCACAGTGACTGTACTTTACTGCTCCTAGTATCTGAGAGCAGGTCTGTAGCTGGCTATAGACGTTACAGCTCAGTTGAGCATACATGCATAACATGACTTTCTTTGGATACAGGTGCAGCTTCTTTCTTAAGCAGTTGAGGACAGTGGGCGTGCTACACATGCCCAGAAAACGTAATCAAGGTATACAGGATGTGTGTAGCACATCCAGTCCCTCCACCCCCCTGCCGCCCCCCCCTTCTGGCAATTGCTCGCAGTTCTTGCCTCTGAAAATGAAATCAGGATTTGCTGTCTATGTACAGAAGTTCCTCCAACTGCGACATTTCTGTATCTGTTTCATTCCTCCGCAGATCAAAGGGATGAACTTTGGGCTGCGTATCATGTCCGTTAAAGCAACCTAACAAGTCAATTTAAAAAAAAATTTGAATACATTTCCTTATTAACCTTTAGTTTAACCGAATCAGCCCTGATAAACTCCTTCCCTTCAACTATTTTCCTTTTTTTTTCTTATTTTTGATTCAATTAACTAGTAGGCTTTTTTTTCATTTATTTGTCTTTTTTTTGTGTGTGTGTTTTGGTTTTTACAGTGTTTTGTACGTTTTAAAGCACAAAATGGAAAAACAGCAACCTTTATTTCCTTTGTAAAAAAACGTTTGCAGTGCTTTTTACCAAAATTAGTTTTTTTATTGTAATTTTAAACAGGACAAGTTATCAAATAAAAATACGTTTGTATTCAACGGAAGCACTTTTTTTTTTTTTTTTTTAAGAACTTTGGTGGAAATGGGAAAAATTTTAAATTTTTTTTTTCGTTTTCTTAAATTTTTTGTCTACGGAATGCATAAAAAGAAAAATTTATTTTTGCAAGACAATATCATGAAAATAAAGCCTTGTTTGTTCTTAAACAATATATGTATCACTTTGTTACTCACATCGCTTATGCATTACAGGGAATTGCTAGCTGAGTGTACTGTAGCTGCAGGCATCATTCTGGTATAACCATTTCAAACGGATGACTTCATAAGACGTCCACCTGGGGGAAGTGGTTGCAGTATTCATTACAAAAGGGATAACAGGCGCATGGTGCGGCAGTCCATGTATGTTTAATGAGTTCCAAATGGGCAGGGGTGAAGGTAGTCCAGTAGGCACTAAGGGCAAGCTGCGTAGGAGTGAAGCATAACTCTGCAGAAGGGAAAACAAAAACACAGCGCCTCTGTGTATTGTGAAGGTATTTAATAAAAAGATTAGTAACTCACATCTTAGAATATAAAAACAGGCTCATGGGTAACGGCCAATCTAATTTCTTGAGGTCCAAGAATGTCAGGAAAGTACAGATATCCCCCAAATGTCAGAACAGTACAGATATCCCCCAAATGTCAGGACACAGATATCCCCCAAATGTCAGGACAGTACAGATATCCCCCAAATGTCAGGACAGTACAGATATCCCCCAAATGTCAGAACAGTACAGATATCCCCCAAATGTCAGAACAGTACAGATATCCCCCAAATGTCAGGACAGTACAGATATCCCCCAAATATCAGAACAGTACAGATATCCCCCAAATGTCAGGACAGTACAGATATCCCCCAAATGTCAGGACAGTACAGATATCCCCCAAATGTCAGGACAGTACAGATATCCCCCAAATGTCAGGACAGTACAGATATCCCCAAATGTCAGAACAGTACAGATATCCCCCAAATGTCAGGACAGTACAGATATCCCCCAAACAGTACAGATATCCCCCAAATTTTTTGCAGAGTAGACAGTCCGACGTACTTCATAACAGGCATGGCAAATTTTTTGAAGTTGTATTTTTTTTTTGTCATAATTTTTCCCGAAAATGAAAAAATTAAAAAAATTAGTTTCACATTTTTTTTTTTTTACATATTGTCACCAATATGATCAGTATTTTTTTTTTTTTTTTTTTTTCACACAATTTGCTTATAGCAAAGAATGACTTTGCTATAAGCAATCATTTACCTGAATGACATCGATTCATTCAGGGTTTTTTTTTTTTGTGCTTAGCTGTGATTTGGCCACAGCTAATCACATGACATGTGCATGTGATTAGCTGTGACCATTCACAGCTAGACACTAGTATACAATGGATGGCATGAATGAAGCCATCCATTGTATACAACTGTCATGTGACCTGCTGTGATTGGTCACCGCAGGTCACATGGTACCGGCAACGGGGGGCCGATACCCAGATCTGTCATTGGCCGTGTCCGAGGTACACGGACACACCGGTGACAGATCGCTCCGCTGCGCGGCTCTGCAGGAGCGCAATCTGCACATGTGCGGGGACGCAATATGGCGTCCACCCGGAACGCTGATGACATTTGCCGGCCCGCCATTCGGCCATAGGGCGGGCGGCAAATGGTTAATAGCAAAAAGTCAAAAATATGGGGTTTTTTTTCAAATTTTTCGGTCTTTTTTTGTTTATAGTGCAAAAAATAAAAACAAATACCAATCAATCAAAGCTCCATTCGTGGGAAAAAAAAAAGGACGTAAATTTAATTTGGGACCGCACAATTGTCAGTTATAGTAATGCAGCGCCGTATCATGAAAAATGGCCTGGTCAGGAAGGGGGGTAAATCCTCAGGAGGGCAAGGGGTTAATAATATGCTTGGGAATGCCTTGAATCTGTGTATGGAGTTACAGAACAGTATGATTTTCACTGACAGTCCCAGTTACCCCGGTTCACATCTGTGCGGTCGTGCGGGCCGCGATTTGCATTCATTTGCATGGACCCCCGTGCCCCGGGACACGCAGGGAAGAAGTCCCTGCACTACTTAGGAAATCGCAGCCCGCACGGGAACCCAGTATGGTTGCGATTTCCAGTGTGGGTGGTGTGCCATTAGAATTATTGGCCCCCGCCTTCCTCTGTGTGGGTGGTGCGGCTGCAGGTATTTGTGCGGGTCCTGCAGCGGCACCACCAGCACAGATGTGAACCGAGTGTAACAGTGTACCTTGGCAGTGCATATTGGGGCTGTGAAATTGATTTTTTTTCTTTTCCATCTAGCTTGGCTTACATAAAGCAGCAGCATTCCAATCTGAATCATTTCAGTTTTAAAATATTTTTTTTTTTCTATTTATCATTATTAGCGACACACGCTTTTTCATCAGATGGTAAAAGGCCCGATTTCAAAGATGGAAAGAAATCAGCCGGTAGTTCACCGTGGATGTCCCTTTTTTCATCTGTCCTGCTGCTGGACAATTCTTCTAAGCTGGAAAACAGGAAGTAACTGAAGAAATGTGAAAAAAAATATGTAAACCAAATAAATATATTATACTTCCTATCCATTTAGTCATGCTAGCAGCATAAGGATTTAAAATAGTCCATGTTGATAGAGAAAGTTCCACTTTGAGTGACTGCAGAGGATAAACATGTAACATTAGCCAGCAGCAGGGCATTTTTCTAATGAGAGAACTGGTTAAAATGTACTAGAGAAAACATGAAATGCATTAACAGGTTTTTTTACTACATGGAGGACAATGGCAGGACAATTCCCATGACAAGACTAGGCCCAAATTTACTAGAGACAAAAGAGCTCAGACTGAGGTTTTAATGAAAGAATTAAGATACTGCAGAGAGATATCATACGCTTCTTTGAACATCCATCATCCTCGTTAAAAGGAATCTCACACATCTATAAAACTGCTACATTCCCAATGCGCAGAACAAATATTGCCTTCCATGGAAACTTGGGACAAATCGCTCAACTTCTAGCTGGATTTAACCGAATGGCATGCAGCAACTCAATCTACCCTACGATTCTCTAGAAATCTCATCCACTGGGAGAGAGCCCAAAAATCCTTCACAACTGGTATTACACACCAGCAAACCTCTCCCATCTCTTTCCATCCAACTCTCCAGCTTGCTGGAGAAATTGTGGCCATAGAGGAACAACAGTACACATCTGGTGGACTTGCCCTATTTTAATTTCCTTTTGATTGATGTACAGTCCCTAATTAGAAGAATTCCAGGTATATCCCATGATCTTACACCCCAACTGGCGCTGCTCGGAATTAGCCTGGAGCGATGGCTTAGTCAGTACCACTCCATTATCACACACATCTTGATAGCAGCACGCCTATCTGTTGCTCGCACCTGGAAAAATCAAACACCACCAAATATTCCACAACTTATTTCCATTCCTAACCAAATTCTAAATATGGAATATGTGTTTGCTAAAGCTCATTTAAAAATCCCCAAATTTCTAGCAAATTGGTCACCCTGACTAAATGATCTCTCCAGTGACCCTCTCATCACATAGTTTCTGCCTGTCACCGGAATATCTGTGGTGAAACCCATCTGATCACCCCCATCGATGATTATATGATGACAATACTTGGCTTGAATTGCTTCAACGTACCTTATGTAGCTCTCTTTTTTTTCTCTCTTTGTTTTGGTTGATACCCGGGTCAGGATGCACGCCATCTCTTCCTGGAGTTCATCCTGTATATACGAATATAGTGTGTTACCTGAATGTCATCTGCTCAGAAATGTCATTACAGCACTTCTAAACGCTTTTATTACTCTGTATCACCTCTTTGTTGAAATCAATAACATTTTTAAAAAGTGAAAAAAAAAAGATACCGCAGAGAATACAGCAGTGTGCAATTGGCCAACAATAGGACAATTGTAACCACTTCACAACCTACGGACACAGCTGATCGTGTGATGAAGTAAAGGCCAATCACAGCGGCCTTTTACCACGTGATCAGCTGTCTCCAATGACACAGCAGATCACCGAGTAAATACATTTGCCGGTTATCAGTAGCACTTTCCTCACGCTGTGACGGCACGAGGAAAGTACTGCCGATAACCGGCAAATGTCACACAGCAGAT